GGGTCTGACGAACCCGCTTTTCTGAGAAAGTGAAAAGAACATTCCTGGAAGGTGAGGAGACAGGACGAAAATGTAGTGGATGAGTGCAGTAAGATGAGAATCTGCAGGACAGCAGTGGCAGAAAAATGTCCAGCAAAGAAGATTAGCTTGCTGCAGACCAAATAGCCCAGTACTTCTGCTGGTTGTCTGTGATGTACAGAAGTGGCCAACTCACCATACACCAGGCTGATCTGAGTCCTTCTCAAGATTACGCAGAAGAGATCTTGACCAGGCTTGCAGTAGGAAAACAGCACTACCTCTCAGCTTCTTTACCATCCACCATGTAGAATATGTAACACAGTCTTGTGAGCAGAAAAAAAACAAATTACTTATTTCACAGCGCTATGGAGCTACGGATGTACACTGGAGGTTGCTGAGCAGAAAAGAAAACGATAGCCCAGAGCCACTCAAGCTTCTTGAGTGTCTAGAAAAATTCAAAAAGTTCAACCACGGCCAAACCTTGCTAAACCCAAGGCACTGGTGCCGTGTATATTGTTATGTGTATCCGCTTGGACCATAGGTTTTTCAGATAATTTCAGCTACTAGATCTTCTCAAGGCGCAATTTTTTCTCAGAATTGCAATTTTTTCACACATCCTCTTACTCGCAGATATGCGATTATTTATAATATTTTGTGCTAACATCTTTGAGGTATAAAATTTATCTTCGGTTAATTCAGTATAGGAACTTTCAGAAGAAAAACGCTAGCTGAAGCTCAGTCTTACTTGCATGCCTGATGCAGCAAAATCAACATCTCAAGGGTTTTTTGAACTCAGAATGGGGGCAAACAATAGTTTCAGCGAATAATACTTCTTAGGATTGATGAGTTTGTATGCCGAATGTAAAGTAAGAGTTGACAATAATCAATTGCAAGATCAAGTATTAACGACCTGTAATAATTGAGCAGGGTATCAAGAGTAATCTAAAAAGCAAGATAGGCCGAGAAAAACTCTCATCTAACTAGTCAACGTTTTAGAATTTAAACATCACGGCCGTTCATTCCCATATTTAGATTGTACGAATAGAATTTAGGTGTTTTGCACTGTTATTTAACCTGCAGACGTACAAGTTAACTCTTACCCCCACCGTGGTACAAGGGGAAAGTGAATGGAATCCCTTGGGTTTTCGTTCTGTTAAGGCACAGCGAAACAAATTTACATTGATTAGATAGCCCTGATCTTGGTCTACAAAATGATACCGTAATCATTGGTTGTGACATCATATGATGTCAAATGACGTCATTTGACCCGCCACCTTGGATCCGCCATCTTGGATTTTACTTTTTTCTTAAAAAGTCAAGAAGTAACAGAAATTAATACAAAATCAAGCCAAAATACTAAATGTACAAATTGGTGAATTTCTGGAATTTCATGAGGAAAACTGGAAAAAACACTACAGAATTATGTCAAAGAAAGTTGATTTTTGGCCAATTACCCACATCAAACTAGCGGTTGCCATGGAAACGTCAAAAATGATGATAGACACACAATTGACATATTAAAATATCCGCCAACGATGAGTGAACAGCTAGTGAAAGTTTCAGTCCCTTAGAATAAATCGTCTTTTCAAAATTTTGAAAAAACCTTATTGGGGGATGGCATTCACCCTCCCTCCCCCCACCTTGTACGTGCGAGGGTTAAGGGATATTGCAAAGAGTTTTGAATTCATTGAGCTTCCACTGCCCTAAATAATATTTAAAGACTTTGTTAATGACATTAACATAAAAATGACTTTGAAAAACTGATTCTATAATATCTAATATTTTTTAGATTTCGCCCTTATCTCTTTGTTAAAACTAGTCTTTTGCCACGAAGTTTAAACAGCTTCTGTTACCAAAAAATAACAGATGCCAAAAATTTTATTCTTGATTTCATTAGGCCAAGGGTGACTCTAAACTGTGGTAAAATTAGTTTTGATTTAGAAAGTTGGATTTAAGCAATATTTGAGTCAGAATTTGAGCTAATTTGCCTTATAGCTAAATGTTGCGTGACATGGGTAGGAAATGACAATCCTTGCTTGACACCTGTCACTTCAAATGACTTGAAACTCCTGGTATGAACTAAGATAGGTCCAATCTATATTCGTGTTAAATATCAATAAAATTCAATGCATTGTGTAAGCAGGAGTTGTGTCTAAATTTGATGCTTATTTTAATGACATTTTTGGGATTTTGGTCCAAAAACCAGGGGGGTGATCTAACTCCTAAGGGAAAAATCCCAAAGCCGGCCCACTTTGTCTTTTAGAGTTGTTGGGTAGTACCTTCAATCTGGCAAAGTTTCATCCAAAAAGGAGAGATGGCATGTATCACCCCTGCCTGGTCCTCTGGTAAACTCGGTCTTAATTTCTTGGTCCCGGTGTAATCCCCATTGACCTGGTTTTCTCTACAATTAGGAAAACACACATTTTTTTCCTTTTAAGGCTGATACATTTTGATCGTAGCAAACTCATCATGGACACTGCTAACCAAACATCCTTGCAGAAAAACCCTCACGGATAACCATGGCTTAAAAGTGATTAAAAAATGTGCTATAAACACTTAACAGCCATCCTGTGTGATTCCTTTGCAATTAAGGAAGCACATACCATGTTTTAAAAGCCTTGACACATATCATAGGAGTGATTTATAAATGATGATTGTGGACACAGATGTGCACACCCGTGGCAAACCGTAACACTTCCCCTAAGATGGCCACTAAGATCAACGTTGGGCAAACGTCGTAAAAGACAATCATGGAGGTGTTAACACGACTGCTACATTTAGCATGCAGGGCTGTTCCAATCTATTTTAGGTTTTTGACAAAGTAAACGACGCATTATCATTGAAGTCCAATCGATACATTAAATTTATGGGCTGTAAATCGTGGAAAACGCACAAAACACGCTTCAATTTTGCAAACTTTTCTAGGGGGGCATACCCCTAGACCCCCCCTAGCAGAATAGTCCCTTAGGCCCCATATCATAGTTACTGGACGGCCACTCACAGAATCCTAGCTAAAACCTTGATTCACTGCATGCAAGAGAAAACGAGTGTCCTTCATTTTCTCTTGCTGCGTGCCAAGAATGAATTTTTTAAAAGCGAAAGGAATAAATAAAATAAAATTGTTATTTCCCTAGACATCAAACAAAAAATGCAACGCAACCCCATCAGTTGGGCAATAGCCGCTTATAAACGTTTCTGATACTTGGTTATGTTTTCTCCTGAGTATAATTTTGACAGTACAGCAAAACGACTGTGTGAAAGATAAAAAAAGATATTTGTTTGAAGCCTGCCCAGGAAATCAGATTGTGGCGAGTGAAGATTAAGATTGCGACAGTAGAATATCCACTAGGCCAGGGAAAAGACCCTGGGAACGAGGTTGCTGAAAAAGAGCCACCAGACTGCCGTTATCCATGCAGACTATGCGTCGCCTGACTATTCCACAGCAATCGTCGCGTGACCAGATGCTAACCAGAATGCACCGCGAATGTAATCTCGTGATACGAGATATACTACCCGAGTCGGAGCAGAATGCAGAAAAACATGAAAGAAGTCAGATTGAAAAAAGCTACCTAAGCCGATGCTGTATTTGTATTGAGAAAACTCTTCTTAATGAACGTTGACGTTTAATTTTACCTTCCAAATGAACCGCGCTAGCGCGCTATTTTTAGTGGAAAACATCTTCTCCCGGAAGAACATTCCTCAACATGGCGTACGTTGACTTAGCTGAGGAAGGCTGGTGGAAGGTTTTATCGAGATAACTTCACTTTTGACATTGCAAAATGAGTCACGGTGAAGCTGAGGAAGAGTCTCTCGAGTCTCATGTAAAAGGCCTTGAGTTTGAGAGAGAAATTGGGAAAGGTTCTTATGGAAAAGTCTACAAGGCCGTCTGGAATGGGAGCGAGGTTGCAGCCAAAAGGTTCCACTGCGCCTTCTTTGAAAACGGTTTAAGTCAAGTGGCAGATCAATTCATGGAGGAAATTCAGCGAGAATGCGATGTTCTAAAGATGCTGAACCATGCCAACGTTGTTAAGCTGCATGCTGTTTTGTTTCCCAAGGGACTCTCGCCCATAATCATTACAGAACTTTTACACTGTGATTTAGAAAAGTACATTAAAGAATCCACCTCCTCACCGAAAATTCCAAACATGAACCTGGTTTGTATAGCTTTGGATGTGATTCAAGGGCTACAGTACATGCATAGTTTGTCCCCACCTGTGGTCCATCGTGACCTAGCAACCAAGAATATTTTACTTACAACAAATGGCACTGCCAAGATTGCTGATTTGGGCGTTGCTAAAGTGTTTGCCGCAGGTTGCGAAATGTATGCTACTCGTGTGCCAGGTACACCGGCTTATGCAGCTCCAGAAACCTATCCTGTTATGAAGAATTTTAAAGTAGTAGGCAATGCAAAGTATGGTCCCAAAGTTGACATCTTTTCATTTGGTGCTGTTTTACTGGCTATGATCGTTGGTCATGAGCCTGTGATTTGGCCGATAACTCCAATCAGCAAAGGTATTTGCCAGTCATTTGTTTGTGTAATTTATCTGACAGCCAATCTGATATTGTTTCTTTTATTACAGTCAGTAAAAATAAGTAAATGGGCCTTTTGTGGCAACATTTTAATGAGGTCATGCAGGAAAAGCAGTTGTCTCCCAAACTAAGGAACTTGCTCACCTTTGTCACAAAGTACTTTTGGTTGGGTTTAGCCCAGAAAGAGGCTAGGGGGATGGGCACTGCTGAATCTGACTGCATAAAATGATATGTTGTTTCATGTCATGGGATTTCAAAGCACCTGATGAGAGCATGTGCTCTTGAGGAAAAACCCAGCTACTGGTATATAACATCAAAATATCAAATATTTCTTCATCGTCTACACTATGCTTGACCAGACTATTGAATTCCTTAAGATAATAAGAACATCTTTTAACACAAGATATTAGTAAGGCAGAAGTACTTAAGGCATTAGTAAGGTGCAAATTAAAGCTGCCTCCTTTTACCTATTTTGGAGATCAAAGCAATGCTTGCTCAGGATTAATTGCAGAAGAGGTAAAATATGTCTCAGATGTGTAAATAATTTACACATCTGAGATTTATAATGATTATACATCTCAGACATACAGTTTGTGTCTCAGACATTATTATTATTTACAGGTCAAGATAAATACTGACAGATAATATCGAACTTATTAAGTAATTTAAAGATACATAGGACTATTTTTTGGTATTTAGTTTGTGTATAATTACTTCTCAGATCTATTATACAATCATGTAATACTGACAGTGTTATTGGTCTCCAGAGAGAAATGCAGCCAGGCTTAAGTACTCAGGCATTAGTAAGGTGCAAATTAAAGCTGTATCCTTTAACCTATTTTTGGAAATCAAAGCAATGCCTGCTCAGGAGTAATCATAGAAGAGGTCCAATATTTCTCAGATGTGTAAATAATTTACACATCTGAGATTTAAAATGATTATAGTTCTCAGACATACAGTATGTGTCTCAGACATGTTATTATTATTTACAGATCAAAATAAACACTTATCTGACAGAAAATATCAGACTTATAAGATACATTGAACTATTTTGTGGTAAATAGTTTGTTTATAATTACCTCTTAGATGTATTATACAATCATGTAAAACTGACAGTATTAGTCTCCTGCAAGAAATACAGCTAGAAACTTACTGATGGATCAGTATAATAAGGGAACCACATACCTTAGCTTGTGAAACTGCATGCCCTTTGGTAACATTGAAGCAAAGTGCTGGTGAACAGGACAAAGTATTTGAAATATTTACAATGAATGGTGTGTGCATATTTCGCCAGTCTTCAATGTGAAATTTATTAGCTTAAGCTAGTTGTGTCTGGTGACCTGCAGGGACCAAAAAACAAGAACTACGTTATTTTATGAATGATTAATGTCCTGTCACCCTAATAGATGATGTAGGGGATATCTGGATCTGCTACTAACAGGTCACTGTAAAACTCTAACATAATCTGTCTTGTTTCTTTACTAATCTGTGCAAATTCTAAAGCGATCCTTGTCATTCATTGTCATTTCATTTCATTCACCTTGCTGTTTCAACAGTTTTCAATGGCCATGTCCTTTGTTAGGCCTGAAACTTTCTTAAGCTGAGTTGTTCAGTATCCAAAATGAGACTTGAAATGTTTGCTAATTGGATTTTTTGTCTGGCGTTCTGCAAAAAACCGGTCAGGAATTTGCAGACAATTCATAGACGTACAGATTGTCACCCACAGCATTTTTGTGCTGTTCTTGTCATTAAGGATTAATTTGATTGTAAAATAATTTCAGGGATCAGTCAAGTTCAGGAATTTAAGCTATTTTTTGGCTTGCTTTCTATTTTCTCCTATGTATCTCAAGAAATTAGTATTTTTCATGCTTCTTTTAGGCTTGTACTTGCTGTATGAAAACATTTTGAAATATTTGAGATAAATTCAACAAAATTGATAAATTATACAAACTGAACCTTTTTTGTCAAAAAGACCAGTTTGATTAATCATGTTCTTCTGAAACTTCTGTCCAGACTTATAAATCTCAGTGCTATTGGTGGCATGTAGGGGATCCTGTAATCTTGATCCTGCACTGACCCTCTCCTCATTAGAGGCTCAAAGGTGTTTTGGGGTAGGGAGAATTTCCTGAATGAAGCAAGTGCAGGCATAGGGGAGTCATGAAGGATGGCAATCATTCCAATCAACTGTACTCACCTTGCACAGCAGATCTCTGTTAGTACCGGTAATAGTAATTGGACTGAGTGGAGTACAATTCAGGGAGTAATTGCACAAGTAGTTTCAAAATCAGACCAGCGCAAAGCGCAAGGCCAATTTGAAATTACAAGTACGATTACTCCCTGAATTGTACAAAATGAGGTTCAGTTGCTAATTAATCGTATCTATAACAAATTTCGGAATTAAAAATGTCTTTTGAGAACTTCTTTTGAGTGAAAACGTCTGTTATGCTTTCAAAAGTTTTGAAAACTGCAGAAAATAATGCAAAGGAAGCCATTAAAGTGCACGTAATTGGACACCCACATGGTCACGCATCAATTATGTGACAAATAGGCATGCAGAGAACCAATCACAATTGAGAATTTTGTTATAGATACTATTATGAACATAAAACTTTCATCAACTGTAATATAGTGTAGCCCAAATTTTGCTTGGCAAGGCCAACACTAAACCAAGACCAAGCAATGCAAAGTTTAGAGAACATAGGAGAAATCCCTGAGAGTAAGAAGGCCTACACCTCTCAGCGATAAAGTGAGAAGACGCCTTACAATTCAGACTGACAAACAGCATAAACTGCTGGAAAATACAAACCTGTCATAAACAGCATGTGCTGCCCCAAAAAAGAGCAAAGCTCAAGTTAGCCAATCTGCTAAATGAGCAAAAAAATAATTAATATTAATATTTATTGAAATATTAATAGATATAAAAGGAATATTATTAAGCATTTTCTCCTGTTGTGGTTTGAGAATTCCAGTTTTTTCTCCCATTTTTGACCTCTTTCTTTCTGTTTTTCATTTTTATTTTCCTAGTTTCCTCGTGTCATTTGTCACTTAACATCCTGTAATTTAAAATTATGTTTTGGTGACAATCATGCTTTCTACATGAGAGGTACCAAATACTGCACTTAGATACAGGAGCTTGAGCATTTGTACAGTGTTACTTTTGTCATGTGTTTCCAGAAAGAAAGAGTTTAATATCAGTGTGCAGATTTGTAAACTAACTATCAGTGTCTTGGTAAAAGTAGGATCCATATACAACACTTGAATAAGCTATTACTAACGTAATTTAGTTGGTTGGTTATTGTAAATCTGAGAAATATGGAGGGGGAAATGTAGGCTACCTACAAGTTAGATAATTTAACCTCCTGTCTGGAGAGAGAAGCTCTTCTCCTTCATGGAAACTATAGCTGAGTTAAGCTACTAGGCTTTTTGAACGAGATGTGTTAATAGTCCTGTTTTTTCTTGTTTGTGTCACATTTACAGATGGTGAGATGATTAGTGAACATGATCGTCGCAAAACTGACATCCTAGAAATGGGGGATCATTTTCTACAAGGGCTGGTGTTAAGTTGTTTGGAGAATGATAGCAATTACCGTAAATCAGCAAAGGACATTATAACAGAGCTAGAGAAGCAGAAATGGAACCTAGTTCGACACTCTGGGTCTTGTGGAGTGGAGGAAGAGCTAGTGATTGAGAAGGTTGGACGCCAACCATCATATGATTACAAATTCAAGATCCTCTTTATTGGAGATAGGGGAGTCGGAAAGTCTTGTTTGTTTCAACGCTTTCAGAACCCCTTTTATAACATTCTCATGAGCACAATGACAATAGGCTTAGAAATCGACACCGAGTCATTCAAGTGTGGCTCCAAGTTTGTACATTTAGAGGTAATTGACACTGCTGGGCAGGAGCAATTCTTTGCAGTGCAAGCTATGTATTTTCGTGGCGTCCATGGTATTTTTCTTGTGTGTGATGTGACAAATCGTGAAACTTTTCACAACGTTCCCAGGTGGTTGGACCTAGCTCGGCTTTATTGCACCGAAAGCAATGCTCTGATTATTCTGATTGGTAACAAGATAGATCAAGTCAGCAACCGTAAAGTTTCTTATGAGGAAGGCCAGGCACTTGCCAAATGTCATGGCCTGAGCTACATGGAAGCCAGTGCTTTGAATGTGGAAAGAATTGAGGAAATGTACAAGACTATGATTCAACTTTTGATGAGATCTGTTGATCTGGGTCAAATAAAAATCGAGCTTCGTAACACAGAGGAGAAAGTCAAGTTAAAGAAATTGCCAAAGAAATCAAAATGTAACATCTGCAAGTGAAGCAAATGAAGTAAACAAAGATCCACATAAAGGCTATGGAAAATGTCACTTCACTTTTCAATAACACACAGACACAGAAGTTTAAAACCTAACACTACGTTTTTTTCTGCTGTCAGTAATTAAGATGACAATCAGCAAACCTTGAAAAAGAGAAATAAGCAAAATGGATGGAAATCTACCAACCACAACCCACAAAAATAGTGTTTTAACCCACTGAAGTGAACATTTGTTTCTTGAGAGGTCTGCGATGATTGATGGCAGCAAAAAATGCAGTCTATGATTGAGTAGCTCTAATTTTGTATGTTATAAGAGGCCCACTAATACAAACTTCTTCCAGATAATTATGTAACAATCTCCTGTTTGGAGTGATGTCGTAAAAAAGAAGCATGTACATCATGCATTTATAGTTCACATGCTATGGCTCTATGAAAATTGCTTGAGAAGAAATTGACAGTTGCCATGCATACTTCATGTCATATTTTCATTACTGTTTTGCATATAATGCCATTTATTAGATTTCCTTGTTATTACAATGGTTTTGACTGATTGGAAAAAGAGAGAATTGTGTTGTGTCCTTAAAAACTTTATAAAATTAATAGTAATATTAACAAGGGAAAGTTTTTCTTTTTATGTAAATGAAAACAGTCCTAAATTATATAAAAGCAGGATAATTTTAACTTGACACTTTACTAAAGATGATTAATACTGATTTCCATAGTTATGAAAGGTGAGAGTATTTACAAGGCTTGAAGAGATCAAACTCCTTCCTAAAGGAACCAAAGCAAAAGTGTCTTGCAGCTTAATAGCACTTACATATAAACATAGTGACTTTAAATATTACTTTTTCCACCTCATGGAAATATTAATTATATATTGGTTCTTTTCTTAGCTTTTCTTCTTAACTTGTTGTTTAATTAAGGGAAAATCTTACAAAAAAAATGACAGTTCCCAACAAAAGAGTGTGTTTTTGTGTTCTTCGATCCACAAATTCCTTAAGTCCAGTCCAATCACAATCAGAGGAAAATCGTTCGCGGAAACCCGCACGAATTCCACCAATGACAGTGCAGTGCTCGAACAATAACCGTGTCAGCAACGTGTCAGCTGTAATGTCAGCTGTTGTCGCAAGCTTGCTTCTTTCTTCGCACGAGTTAAAACTGTTAGTGTTCGAAGACTGTGGAGTCTGTCTCCAGTTCAGCTTAAATGGAACAGAAACGCGATGATGAGAAAGGCGGAAGTAATCGGTTTGGCTTGCGTTCCGAAGAAGTTCCCGCGCAGTTCCGCGAAATGTTTATTTGCTCGGGCTATCGCAAACCTTACGGCTCTGCGTTGGATTGTGTGAAGAGTGTGTTCCTACCTTTCAACGAAACTGTGAATGTTTGGACTCACTTTGTTCCGTTTTTACTTTTCTTGGTTCGTTTTGCGTCCGTGTTCTGGAAATATCGGCTGACGGAAGCATATGTGTACCCTCTCTTATCATTTGCGCTGGGAATCTGTGGCTTCCTCTTGATGAGTTCCGGCGCTCACCTCTTCAACTGTATGTCTCCAAGGGTGCGACACATTTGCTTCTTCTTCGATTACGCGGCGATAAGCGTCTACAGTTTAGGTGCAGGCCAGGCATTTTATTTCTACACTCGTTCATGGAAGAGCGATAGCTTTCTCTTCAGTTCCCCCGGCCCTTTCTTGACGATTTCTTGTTTAATTTCCGTCGTGTCGACGTACACCTGTTGTGCTTCTCGCCACAGATGGCCCAAGATGAAGTACGTTATTCGAACGTTCTGTTTTGTGGTCGCGTTTTTCTTCAACAGCTTTCCATATGTACATCGATGTTTCGTAGATCCAACACCGCTTGTCCAAACTCAACAAGAACTTCTTGCGTGGTCCTACTTCAAGCGACACTCGTATTTCTATCTGATTTCCGCCTTGGCGAATATGTCTCGAATGCCTGAGCGCTTAATACCGGGTGTTTTTGACATCATAGGTCACAGTCATCATTATCTACACGTTTTTACAGCGCTTGGTGCAGCAGACCAGTTTACTGCGATTCATATCCAAATGGAATCGAGACGAAGCGACTTGGAGAACTTTCCAGTAGCAACCTTTGGAAACAGTTTCGGGCTTATGGTGTTAATTTGTCTAATTAATATCGGGATTGTGTCCTGGTTTGGCAAGAATCTTCGATCGGACAAGGAAGAGGAACATAAATCACTTTGAAAGCTGAAACACTAATTTTTTTTGGTAACGATAGAAAAGTTTTGCTTCTGTATGGGGTTGGTTGCTATTAAGTACAGGTGCAAGTAAGATAAATTAACGCGCTCGCCGAAAGTGAAAGATTTTGGTGAGTGGATGGTGGTTTTCTCCAAAACAAGTCATTATTAAAAGTGAAGGAAAACTTGTCAAGGATTGCAGCATCGCCTCACTTTTATTGCTTAGTGGTGTAAAACTCAGGTGTAAGTGAAAATAAAGATTTAGTATCTTAAATTTCATAAGCAATGAAATATTTATCTCGGTAGAGGGATTGAAATTAGATTCTGAATTTCAGTTGTCAGACAGACATTGATCAGAATTTTTCTAGAGAAGGAGAAAATTAGAAGTTTTCTGGTAGAAATGTTGAAGATGGAAGGGTTCATTTGAAGGTTATTACCGTCAAAATTTTAACCTATTCATTTTATTGTAGGAAATTTAAAAAATGTCAGTTTGTTTACAATATTGTTATAGGATAGTTTAGATCATTTAATCAAGTTACCAGTCTTCCATTGGCTACTGACATTTGCTAACAGTCAAATTTATAACAGATATCAAATAGACCACCTGTTTCTCTAAATTTATAACAACTACAATAACATTATGAATATAAAATGTTCTTGGTGAAGATTTGTTTAGTCTTTTTTTAAATATTTTGTGATAATTTGCTGATACTTTGGTGAGCTTGGTACCCTTAAACATGAAAAAAAAAACTTGTTTGTTTTTCTTTCCTTAAGAAATGTTATACTTTTCCCAATATTTATAGAATGATAAGTAGTTAATACAAATAAACCAAATATGTAGGATACAACAGGACAGATACGAAACAAGGTCTCTCTTTCTGCAGTAAAGCACCTCTCCCTTTGAGCTTTTGTTTAGGATGAAATAAATGAAGCCAAGTCTAATTAGCGAATAAGAAAAACATAAGGAAACTAAACAATTAATGGGCACAGCATTTAGGATCACAATGGAGTGCGAAGCTTGGCACTTACTTAGCTCTTATCAACCGAGCAGGAGGTCTGTATGGGAGAATCTTGACCGAGGTCGTGAGTGCAGACCGAACGCGGTGAGGTCTGTACACACAACCGAGGTCAAGATTCTCCCATGGAGACCGACTTAGCTCGGTTAATAAGATGTTTAGGCAAAGAAGAAAACTTTAATTCGTTTAATGTAACTGGTTTGTACCAGGTGACATTTTGCTTGCGAGCGGCGATGAGCTTAACTTAAACCCGCCGAAATTTGCTCATCTCCTCTACTTTTTTTTTGTCATCAGGCTTTTTGGCACTTCCATAAATGATTGAGAAGAAAACAAAAGAAAATGGTGAATATTTTTGTATTTTGGTTTGCCACTTTTTCAACACAAAATGAAACCGGTCTAGATGCCAGTCTAGATGGGAAAATCTCGACTGTGGTCAATATCGATTTCAGCCAATCAAATTCGTGAATTCAGTAGTTCCCAGTCCTGGTGAGACACAGCCATAGAGTAAATGTTTATATAGCTCGATAGTTAAGCATAACACTGCTTTTTTAACAAACCCAGGTCCAGAGCACCAAGAAAATATGCAAATTCTGTCTTACTTTTCAAAGTTGTAGTGAAAATCCTTGTAAAAATCTTTGGGAAAAAACAACTTTGAGAGGAGTGAATGCTGGTGAAATTAATCTCTCCCGATAGTATTCAACTTAAGACTTAACCCACCCACCCCTCTCCCCCTGCCCCTGTTACCCTCCCTCAGGTGGTATTCTCATTGCAAGGCCTTCCCTGTTTTCGGGCCGTTACTAAATAGAAGCGACATGAGCAGTGTCGTCTATGATTTGCTCATCAAATCTTCTCACAGTCTATCTCTAAATCTCACTATCTCTCCCGATAGTATTCAACTTAAGACTTAACCCACCCAGCCCTCTCCCCCCGCCCCCAACCCGCGCGATATCTCCTGCTTCACCTCTACTGCTAGATGGAGGAAACTCGAGGACCAGCAAGTCAACAGGGAGGGAGAAGATTTGATGAGCAAATCATAGACGACACTGCTCATGTTGCTTCTATTTAGTAACGGCCCGAAAACAGGGAAGACCTTGCAATGAGAATACCACCTGAGGGAGGGTAACAGGGGACCTTTTGACACGAGAAAGCGTGACATTGCTCTCTCCCAAATAGCGCAAACAAAATGGCTGGTGGAGAGTATCTTGTTTGCTTCTCGGAGAAATGTGAAAAGGAAGACATAAAACAGCACATCATTGATTGCTTAACCCTTGCTAAGTTTAGCGTATCACGAGAAGAATTTGAAGGAAAAACGTTGCTAACCGTCGGTGCTCCTTTCGAAATTCTAGCTCAAAAGGTGAGGCTTCATTTATTAACTACCAGCTCCCCGGGATTCAAACAATTTGCTTGCGGATAGGCTTAAATTCCTTCCTTGTTTTGTTTTGCTAAATAATTTGAAACAATAATTATTAATCATAAACGATATTTTAGGCGGACGAAGTTGGTTTGGAGAAAACCACGACGACTGAACACAAAGTAAGTTCTGGTTGCGCATAAACTAATTAAATATTTATGACTAATAAATATGCACGCCACGTCCACTATTAAAGGATTTTTGTTTCCACTGTATTGGTTTATACATGCATAACTTGTAGTTACCAGATCAGGTACCATAAATCCTCTATTTAGACCTCGGGGTCAAGAGTGTAAGTACTAATTACATTTCACTGGTACTGTAAGTGAACTTTTGCACTGCAGGTACCATTTGGTATGAGGGACCGTTCATTTTTTATAAGGTAGGGGGGGCTGGTGGGATTTGGGGGGGGGGGTGCGAAAAAAAATGGCTTTCGAGGGGGGGCCATCCCAAAAAAATAAGGGAAAAAGGGGGGGTCACGTGAAATATTTTAGTAAAACTTTAAAATGGCATA